TCCAGTAAAGTAAAAAGAAAAGAAGCTAAATCTGTGACTTAAGAGAGAATTACTTGTAACATTTTTACAGGATAATGTGAACATTAGTTCACTCCTTTATTTGAAAATGAAACAATACACTTTTATAATCTGACTAACTGTCAAACATCCAAAGGTGAGGCCCATTTGGCCAACATCAACCAACAGTACAATCTTTAGTCTCAACTTGGACTAAAGATTCTGTATATAAGATACGCACGCCATCATCGTTCCATCAGCCAATGGTTTGTGGACTGCCGTCATGAAGCGCTGAGCTCAGTAGGCTATGGAGATAATGGAAAACCCGCCATGTCGTTATTTTGTAACCGATGTAGAGAAGTTACTTGGAATGCGGGGGACTGCTGAAGGAAACCCTCACGCAGCTACCCGTTGACCAAAGTAAGCCTGCTGTAAAGCACGCTGCGCTTTATAGTTTGTTTGGCTCCAAATGGGACCATCATTTACTAAATCCTGTATCAAAGAAGACTTTGAAACTAGAGGATGATACCGTAAATACATGTTTACAATAGCTATATGCGTACACTATATGTGAGTCACCAGTGTTGTGGTTTGAAACACAGTCTAGGATTTTGACCCATGAAGGCTGATTTTCCGTGATTTCCCCATAGCCGTTCAAAATGATATGCAATGATACGCAACCGCATGGTGAAGTCCGAAATAATATTCAAGCCAAAACACAGATAGTGATCATCATTGCTTAATGCAAATAAAGGTCAAAAGTAAAGGACTCTACTTCACTAGGCACAGCATTGTATACTGACAATACTAACATACTGACATAGCAGGTTCTATGTTTGAAAAGATCACCAGCTTAGTTTAGTAAATCAGAAGGAATTAGCTTATCTGAACAAAAGAAACATTAAGGCTGACAGGAATGTGTTGATGTTAATTCTGGCTATGCTGCTTAAGTTGCTTTGCCTTTGAATGCATATTAATATTAATGTGTCCTCTGGTCAAATCAGGTACCTGAACTTAATTACCCAAACAACAAAAACTGCAAAAGAATGACAAGCATAACAAAAATGCTTTACACTACCCAAATGATGCAGATTTAAACTCAGATACACAAAGACACACAACGTAAACCCAAACCCCTGACCTATGTATCCACAGTGCAAAATTCCTGGTGGGAGCACCAATGAGTCCCTGTCAAGGCATCCTGCAAAGGGCTGAACGTGACTCAGAGAACAGAGCCGTAGCGACCCGGTTTCAGCAGCGTCCTCAGGAGCCTCCAGGATAAAAAAATGCAACGTAGCGTAGCCGCGCCGGGGCTCGCCAGCCGATGCGAAACGGGCCTCCGAGCATGGCATCTCGACAATTATACAGGAAATCCAGATAAATACATAAACTCATGGCAGTGTTGTAGTTGGCCGGCCACGTTGTTTGAGAATACCTGTGTATATTTGGATTGCTACTTGAAGCTCCCTGCACTGCAGGGTATTTATAGGCCTTGCATAGGGTTATAATAAGGCTGAATGTGGTGTTTGATTATCCGGAAGGCAATAAAAGGAACCACACTTTAGGTGTTGGATGTTTATATGGATCTGGATCATTAATGTTAGTGATGGTGCTTCTTTAACATTTTTCTATGACACAAATGCAATGCACAAGAACACACATTCTACGTCTCTACATAGGATATAAACATTGATGAAATACCCTCATATCCATATCATGCCACAGTACGTTCAGTTCATTCCAAGTTACGGCCGTGTTGAAATTGCCTCATTGCAATTAATATGATGAGATTTTGTTGTGCAGCTCAAAGCATTAAAAAAATGTCTTTTGAAAAGCACTAACAGCAGTTTTTCCTTCCAGTAGCAGTGACCAGGTTGCTTTGGATAATCCACAGACCTCGCTGTCAACAGTTCAATTTCCTTGGTAGAAAATAGCGCCAGTTAAATTTGCTGACAGCAAGGTCTGTGAATTATCCACAAAAAGAATTGCTGCTTCAAATCTCATTCCTCAATGCTTCGAGCGCCCCCGTTAAATGCCTTTAACCTCTAATGCATTGAGGGGGCAGCAGTGATCTCAGAATAGAATATATTAAAAAACATTTTTGAAAATATCTGCACCGCAAGAAATTAGTTGGGCAAATCTTAAAATGTGTTAAAACTGACCCTTTTAGATACCAAATGTATGCCATAGCATAAATAAATTGGCCTATTGCCTTTCCCTGTGTGTTGTATTGCCATGATTCATTTCGATGCGTAATCTTTCTCTCTCAAAAGAAAACGCTGCTTACAAAGTCTCAGGCTAACAAGTTGTGCATGTTGGGAACATACATGCGGCCAGTTTCCTACTCCTCTGTTGATCTAACCTTTTTATTTGCCAAAGCTCTGGAGAGGAAAAAAAAGGAGGGGGACGGGGGGGAGGGGGGGGGGCAAGAAATCCCCTCGCAAATGACAGCTGAGACCTGGGACATTTTTTAGAATTTGGATACTAATGTTGGCTCTTTTTACGGCCCTTTTGTAATATGTTTTATGTGCCTCCCAAACATTGAAGCAGTGCTTATGCCCCCCCTCCCCTCCACCCGCCTCCCGCCTTCTATATCCATCTCGTACATCACACGAAGGACCTGGATGTCAACGCACCCTGTTTCCCCTGCACTTCATCTGGCTCAATATTGCAATGTGACGTGGTTTGGGGAAGCAGTAAGGAGGGAGAAGTAGAAAGAATTATGGACAAAATGAGAGAAGAAAAATCCCAGGGAAAGGTAGAACGAAGAGAATAAATCATCAAAAGAGAATGAGAGATGTTAAAGAGCGCAAAATAGAGAAAAGTTGTATTAAAAGACCATTATCAGCCATGTAGATCCAATGTGTTGAAGCTTCTGCTGTCCTGAAGAACAAAACGTTGGCCCTTTAATTAACAACAGAAGATATTTGTGGACATGAACCAGAATATCTCATCTTAAATTGCGGTTGGAAAGAAAGGGAAGAAAAGGGAATGACTCAACCTCCTTGATTTATAAATAATGCACTCATGTTTGTTTCTCTCAACAGTTGAAAAGAGTGCAGTTGCGGTTTTGACCTCAGAAATCTTTTGCACCTCTGCAACCACAATACTTTTGTTTTGTTTTCTGAAAAACGTTTCAAATGATTTATAGTGCCCAAGGGACGCACAGACAAAAAATACAGATGCTTTGGTTCCTTTTAGAACTCTTTTGTAGAAATACATGTAGCCGGAGGTACAAACAAATATGGTGTGAATAAGATGAGGGCTGAAAGGCAGCTCCTCTCCGGTCTTATCTGTATCACTTGGTGAAAACAGGCCGGCTGGAATAATGGTGAACATGTGTTAGGATGAGGACACTGTCTTCCAGCGGGTGCAATGTAGGATTAGCAGAAACCGCGAGATGGAAAGATCTCAGCTCCCACCGAACCCCCTCGGTCTCCTGAGCCCTCCCCCTTATTTTAAACCCCTTCATTCGTTTCCATCAAATCACCACTTAAATTGTAGGCCTCTCTAGTTCTTTCCTGCAAGGTCAGAGAATTTTTCCGTGCAGGGCCATAAACAAGACAGACACAGAAATTAGGTGAGGGAAAGGGGCAGGACAGGAGACAGATGATTTTCCGGATACTGAAAACTAAAGCTTAGAGTTTGGGAAATGGCGCTGGCAGTCCAGCGCTTAACCGCTGCAGCATTAACCGTTACGGACTGTACCGCACACGCATTGGGTATGAACATACGTACTAATAACAGCGGCATAGAAGAGTGCTCCATTAGCACCACTGTGAACAGCTTGACCGACACACGCAAGCACGCGATATCATGATAATCCATCGCGATCCAGGCTTCTGTCATGGAGGTAGGAAGGCCTGCCAAAGACATGCGAGAACCGACACCAAACCAGTACAAATAAACCACACCGTAAGTTTTTCCCCTAATGCAAGAACTCAGACAAAAAAATGAAAGAAAAATGAAGTGAGCGAATACATTACATTACATTACAGGCATTACATTCATGTCGCTGACGCTTTTATCCAAAGCGACTTACATTACACTTTAAACCCATGGCTTTTCACATTTTGCCCAGGGAGCAATTAGGGGTTAGGTGTCTTGCTCAGGGACACTTCGACATGAGACATGGGGCAGTCAAGACTCAAACCACCAACCTTGCGCTTCCCAGCACACCCGCTCTACCCCCTGCGCCACGACGACCCCTAGAATAGAAAATCTACAGAGGTTTAAAGGGGAGAAAAGCCCACAGCACGCGGCCTCCCACCCACAGAGCAAGTCTCCAGCACACTGAGCTGGCTGGGCCTGGAAGGCGAAGGCTGAAGCTGACACAGTCAGTCTGGCACAGCTAGAGATGAAGACAAAGTGATCATGATAACTGAGATTTCTCCTGCAGTGCGACACACACACACACACACGCACACACACACAGGCGTAGAGGGAGATCTGTTGATTCAAAAGCTTAAAAAGTTGAGCAGGTCTGAAGTACGTCAGAGAGAAGCAGCCATAAAGATGACATGAAGAAAAATTAGGAAACACATCAGCGACGAGGCCCATAAGCAAGCGAGAGAAGAAGTGCAAAGAGTTAACTGATACATCTGATGATCACATGTGATGCACATGTGATTCTTTTTAAAGCCATTTGCTTTGTTTGAAAGCTGCATGCTCAATATATATATATATATATATATATATATATATATATATATATATATATATATATATATATATATATATATATATATATATATATTAATATTAATGGTGCGTCTGATGCCTTCAATTTTATCAGTGTAAAAGAAAGCAAACTTGTTGCATTTCTGTGTGTAATGGAGTTCAGGTGGTATTTGTGTTGGGGGGTTGGTCAGTCTGTCAACAGTTTCAAATAGGGTTTTTGCCTTATTAGTGTTGTTGTTGATGATGTTGGAGAAGAATGTTTCCCTAGCACTTTTTAAGTCTAAATTGTAGGCCCGAAGGCGCTCTTTATAGATGTCATTGTTGTGTTTTCTGTGGAGTTTTTAATTCATGACGTTTTGTTATTTCGGATTTACATGTGTGATCAAATGTTTACCTGCCAGAGCTATATATGTAAATGCCAGTATTATATGGAGAAACTTTGAGGTAGCAGGGCAATAGTGTAGTGTCCCTTTAAGAGAGGAGTGTGCTGTGAGGTCACGTGACCAGTGTTTACTGAGTGAAAAGGAAGCGCGATTCACTTAGTTGGTAACGACTTCCAACCCGGTGTGCAGCCACTTGGTAAGCTCTCTTGATTTTCAATGTTGTCTTGTCTCCTTTATAATGTACGCTTCATGTTGTCTGATGTCACCTTAAATGTGTTGCTGCTGTGTTTACTTTCTTTGTGTTTCATACTTTAAACATATAAGCCAGACTGCTATGTGACGTGGCTACTTCCTGGTTTGCCGTGGGGCATTTTGGGAATTGTAGTTTCCTGCTAAGAAAAGACTGCATGCATTGTGAATGTGGTGCATAATGATTGAATGTGTACATGCAAATAACGAAACTGATGATGGTGGATTATAGTATATTAATAATGTTTATTTGTATTTTTGAATAATGTTATTAAGATAAAGAACTGGGGAGCTGTGTTGGTTGTGGTGTGCACATGGAAATTTAAGTATTGCATTTCTTATTATTCCAGGTTTTTTACCTGGTTCCCCTTTTAAGAAATAAACAAACAAATGAGGAATCTTGAGTAAAGTCCTATGTGTGCCGGGTTGCCCTTTCCGTGGGGAGAAACGGAACAGTCATGGTGAATGTGAAGTTTTGTATTCCGCCAGATTCGTTCAGCCTTCCTGCACTCTCTTCTCTGGGCTGTTACAACAGCAGCTTTTCTCCAGGGTGCCTTTTGCTTACTAGAACTGGTTTTAACCGTAACAGGTGCAATGTCATCTATAACATTCAACATTTTGGAATTAAAGTTGTTTACAAGATTATCAGCATGACATGGGATTAGAGGTGGTAACGAGGAGGTGACATTTTTAAAGAGTACGTTAGTTAGTTCATTGATGTACAGTTTTTTGACAGTATTTTGATTGTGTGTCAGGAATGAAAGAAATAATAAAGAAAACACAGAAGTGGTCAGACAATGAGGGATCAGTCACAAAAACATCCGAAACAATGAGACCTTTTGTGATAATCAGGTCCTGGGTGTGTCCCTTACAATGAGTAGTCATTCAAATCGTCAGTATGAAAATTAAAGTCACCAGTTATAACTAGACAATCAAAGTCGGTAGAGATGCCAGACAATAATTCAGTAAAATCATCAAAAAAATGTGCAGAATATTTAGGTGGCCTGTAAATAATTACCAGGAGAACTCTGGGAGAACCTTTCAATACAACATTGAAGATATTCAAATGATGGAAAATCACTAAGTGACATCTGTTTCCCCTGAAATATATTTTTAAATATAGCAGCAACCCCTCCACCTCTTTTTCCAGATCTACATACATTAATAAAGTTATAGTTGGGGGGTGCTGCCTCAATCAGAATGCTTGCACTGTTATTTTGTTCTAGCCATGTTTCAGTTAAAAACATAAAATCAAGTTTAGAAGTGGTAATAAAATCATTGACTAAAAACGATTTGTTATTAAGAGACCTAACATTAAGCAGAGCCATCCTGATGTTGTTATTCACAGGCTTTGGGGTTGACTTTGAGCTGGAGAGAATAGGAATGAGATTTGTTAGATTAGCAGTGTGTCTAAGTTTCGCAATGTTCACTCTCTTGGTGGTCACAACAGGAATGCAGAAGGTGCCATGTTTTGACGTAGGCGACCTTGGGTCCAGCTGATAATGCGGTCTACTGCTGAACCCTTTTCTATCTCAGTAATATTCAGGGCTGCTGTCAGGAGGAGGAGGGGGTGGGCCTAAGGGGGGGAGTGAGCAGCGTCACAGCTGGGATGGATTTGTGGAGGTGGAGGTGGAGCACGTCTTCGTAGAGGTGGGGGGGGCAGATCGGCGTGAGATGGCGTCACCGCTGAGATGAGCTGGTGCAGGTGGACGCTGGGGGGGAGGGCGCTGAGGTCGATCTAAGGGAGTAAAAATAGGAGTAGGGTGGGGGGTAAGTGGGGGTAACTCTTGGAACTCCAAGGGGGAGGAGGGGGAGAAAGGTTTACTGAAGGGAGGGAGAAAGAGGGAGACGTGGACCTGGATGGGGGCTCTGGGGGGGTGGGAGAGGGATCCTCACACGTAATGGAAGGAGGGTTAGAGGGGGATGGCAATGGCGGTCCTCCCTCGCCGTTTCTGATAAGCTGTGTTTTCTCTTCCTTATTTGTGGGCTTCTCTTCTTGTCTCGTGTCCTTGGCAGTGGGGACAGATGGATGACGCATGATGTAAAACATGTTGGTAATGAAAAGCTTTGCTCCCATCTTATTCAGGCAAAGTCCATTTGTCTTAAAAAGATGCCTGCGGTCCCAGAAAAAGCTAAAATTGTTAATAGAATGCATTGAACGAACTGCACATGCAGTTAAGAGCCATTTGTTGAGCCAAAACAGTCTACTGAATCTCTCAGCTCCTCTCCCGGTCGGGGGCAGAGGACCACTGATAAACACCTCAGCATTCACAGAGCTGACTGTTTCTAGGAGATTATCAAAGTCCTCTTTCAACTTTTCTGATTGTTGTTTTTCAATGTCATTAGAGCCAATGTGCAGGATTAAGTTTTTCACAGTTGGGTGTTCAGCCACAATTTCCAAAATTCTTTCTTCCAAGTCAGACACCATATCCTCCAGGAAGCAGAGTACTTTGGTGTCGTTACCACTTTTCATATCTTTTACAGAAAAATCACCCACAATCAGATTTTCAGGCCCTGTCGTTAGCTTTCTCTGTGGCTTTAAGTTAGCAGGTCTTACCCTGCTGCGTGGTGGTGGAGGGTTATCCAGAAATTTAGAGGGGGATCCATGGTCCTGCAACAGTGGAGCAAACCTGTTTTGTAGATTTACACCTGTTTGCTGGGGAGGTTCCTTGGTAGTTCCCCTCTTCTCAGTTGTCCGCTGCTTTGTTCTACGAAGAACGGGGGTTGAGGAGGCGTTATGCCTGGATGGTAACGCAGGCCAGTCGGCCAGATCACAGATATCGGGCCGCTGGGTCCTGCCAGTTATCCGTTCTCCCTTGTCTGGTCTTCTCTTTGGCTTTGCACCAAGTGTGGTCCAGGGAGGATTGTCGCTGGTAGATTTATTACCCTGCACAGAGTCCTCCACTTTCTTCATAGTTCCATCATTGCTAGTTAGCTGGGTTCTAGCATGCTCTTGTCCACTGTTTTGAGTCATTGCTAGAGTGGTGTTGTTCCCACATGGTCCATTTACTTCTACATTTACCTCTAACCGATTAACTTTTGTTTCCGGCAGTAAAATCTTCTGTACGAGTTTGTGGTAATCTTCCGTAGAGAAGGGAGGCATCTTCTGCTAATTACCTTTAGCACTGTAGCACAGGCTCAGGCTTATCTTGTTTGGCAGGCCTCCTCGCGTAGCGTTGAGGAAGTCGTAAAAATATTGAAAAATGCCTGTTTTATCTAAAAGAAAATATAATCCCACTGGTTTTGTAAGTATCCAGGAGCTCCTGCTCTTTGTTTCGTTAAGCGATTGCCGTTGCCAGAGGTGAAAGTGGACAAAATGAGCGGAGCTGCTCCTCGGTGCGACTGGTCTCGGTGCGAGAGAAGAGAATATATTAGATAGAGATTCCACTGTTTACCTTAAGAAACGTTTATTCTGCAACACACTGACAAGTAGCATTACACCACGCAGACACACTGACCAAAACCTTACAGATAAACTAATTGATGCAAAGGAGACTGGGGGAAAGTGGCTGTATGTGTCCACCACAACACATCACGTCACAAAGCCACTGCTAAACCTCACGCACAGGTGAACTGGTGCACAGTTGTCTGTTTTGTGCATCCACTGCAGCTGGTGGTAAATGATGGACCCGGCCTGTTTGTGCATTACTAACTGTTGCAGCTGTGCGGCTTTTTAGGCAGTTAAACCACAGCAGACCTGCATGCAAAGCAGTAATCGTGTCTGGTAATGATCAGTTAACGGGTGCCGGCCATCGGTCAGAAAAAACAAAATCAAATCAGCATCCTTATTATAAAGCCATTATCAAGTGAAAAAAAAACCCACATCACCCGTCGCTTCCCTTCCTTTCAGTGTCTCGGAGTCATTATTTTTTGTTTCCAGCAGCTGCAGTAGTCAGCAGCAACCAACTCCACGCTGCCTGCCCGGCACCCAATGGGTTGAGAGACAAAGTTCGGAACTGAAGCTTTGTTTATACTCGCGCTTGGCACCGTAGTCCAAGCCTCCGCAGATGCCGCACAAGCTGCCAGCATCAATGAAACAAATTACACGCTGCGCTGCTCTGATACAGCAGAGGGCGTTCAGACAAAAATGGACTTTATGGAATCAAAAAGACAACAAGTGTAACCCAGGTTTGCACCAATATGTGTTCATTGAGTGCAGTTCAAACGGGCAAAAAGCCATAAACCAACCACCCCGAACCGAAGAGCCATTGTAATTACCTGTTAATTCATACAATATCCACAAACTACTGTATTGCATTTGTACATCCCTGTAAAAAAAACAAGTAAACGGTTTTATTTGGTTTGCTAAATATTTACTCCAAGGAAGATGTGATTGACCTACTGTTTCAATGAGGCAAGTGATCATCATTAGCAGGCATTTAGCATAGCTCAATAATTAAGACAGCTCTAAAACTGTCATCTGATTACAGCAATAAAACAGGTCAGGAGTCAGCTGGTGTCACGACATTATCTCCAAGTAGGGGAAAAATCTCCACAGGAGACCATCCTTACAAACTGGAATGGCTACACGTGTGGTGAGTTTGGCCAAAATGTTGGGGAGAATTGTGGCGGCCAGGAGAAAAGTATAATTTAGGTATGGGAGGGAGGGCAGATGAGGGGCTAACGCCAACCCTATAGGAAAAGGAGGCCCACGGTCGACCTCAGCTGGTGCTACGGAAATTATCCCGCCAATTACCGTGGACGTACTCCTGTAGCGCTCCAAATACTCCGCGGCCAGCCTTTACGACCTTAGGAAACTTTCTGTGTTGTTTTACTGCGGTGACCTCACTTCAATTACAGTGCACTCCAGCTCCGCTGCTACTTGTCACAACCCAAAAAGCACGATGTCAGGGGGAGAGAGAGTTTAAAGACCCGTGCCACCTCCATACAGTAGTCGGCCTGGGACCTGTTTTCTGGCGGGAGGCTTTAAGTTTTAAAACCAAAAACACCTTATTAGCATATAAAAAGAAAACTCTTAATTTTTTTATTAGTGCAGGGCAGTCAATAATAACAATTGAAAAACATCCTCGCTTGGAAAACCAGATTAATTGGCGTGTGGAAATATTGCTTGACAACATACTCGTCTAACTATTCCAACCAATCCCAAGAGTAACACCCCTTTCCAACTTGGGTATCAATGTCTGGAAGAAAAAGAGGAGAGATGAAGAGGGTCGTTGTGGATAGCTTGGGTTGGATTGATTGGGCTTCAGACATCAGAGGGTTGTGTGGGGATACTTGGGCTTGTTTGGCCATAAAAACGCTGACATAGTCCAAAATGGAGCTACGCCGCGTGACTTACTGTCCAGCCAAAAACTCATGGCAAAAATAGAAGCAAAATATTACAAACTCAATTCTCATGACTCATCATCGTCTAATAAAGTATGCAAAGTGCATACAAGTGTTTCTCGCCGGCGCATTATCTGTATACCTGAGGTCTAAAAAACACCTTTCATTTCAAATAAATGAGTTTCAAAGCCTTGCAATCATCTTCATCCGTCTTCTTTGTATTTCCGCAATGTCTCATTTAATTCCAAATTACTGGTACCACCTTTCAAAGGAGTAGAATAGAACATCATTGTAAAATTATCGCTCAACAGCCCTAACCCGCGTTAAAAAAATCCTCAGAGGGATATACAGTATATATTTATATTGATATTTTTGTTTTTAATTGGAAGGCCTCCTGGTTTTACGGGCAGTGTCACACCGCGGTGAACTTGTTGGGTTTGTTTTATTTTGTCTGGTCCTTTTGTCTTGTCATTTCCTGCTTTATTTTGAAATAGTAACTCTCCTCTCGTTTCAGGTTACTTACCTTTCCTCATGTGTCACCAGTCCGATTGTCTTCCCTGTTCCCCTTTGCCCTACATGTGTACTAATAGTCTCCCTTTGTCCTGTGCCGGTGTGTTTGTTTCCGTCCTTGTGTTCATGCGTCCGGTCCAGTCTCGCCATAGTTTCCAAGCCTCGAAAACCACGTCATGGTGTTTTGCTCCATTGTTTTTCCTCCAAGAGAGTAATTCTGACTTCTGAAATTTTGTATCTTAGATTTTGTTTAATGGTTAATGTTTCCATAGTCCGTTGCTTCCTCCGTAACGAGTGAATTTTGTGGCGTTGCCTTCGTCGATAGAGAGCTTACCCGGGATTCTGATAAAGTTAGAAGCCTTTCTGTTTTCCTCCTAGAGTGGAGCCACTTTTGGTTGATAATTTTTATAGCCACACTTCTTCCTAAATTATTCAAGTGTGATCTAGATCATTTTTATAGCTCGTATTTATTTTCTCTGCCTTGGAGGGATCCAGTCTCACTAATAAAGACTACGAATCCCTTAAAACCCTGCAACTGTGTCATGTGTTCTGCCGGGTCGTGACAGGCGGGCCCAATGGGTAGCAGACCCCGGGGCAGACCCAGAACACACTGGAGGGATTAGATGCCTCGGGATCCTTCAGAAGGAGCTGGAAAATGATGCGGGTCAGAAGAAGGTCTTGGCCCGCCTGCTGGGCTTGCTGCCACCGCGACCCGATCCCAGGTAAGCGGATGAAAAAGGATGGACGGATGGATTATGATGTCAGTGTGGAGCGAAGTCAATGGATCCCCGTATTTCAATGTTGCAACCCATTCATTTGTCAACGTCAAGTAAGTAAAAGAAATGCCCTGTAGGTAAATTAGTCTGGTTGAGATAATAGACAGAAAAAGACAAAAGAAAGTGAAAAGAAAGAATGTTCACACACATATATCATCTTCTTTCAGTGTCCTTAACAGCCCAAAACAAATGTCGTCATCTGATAACTCAGGAAATAACCTGGTCTTGTCATCCATACCAAATTTTCAGGACATTTCCCTCACCAGGGCCCGTTGTAATACAATGGAAGTATCACATTTATTTTCATAGACAGGATCCAGCGGTGAAATTATTAACACCAGCGCCATTGTGCCTACAGGGAGAGCAGAGTTGGAGAAAGACACGGGGGAGCTCTGCTGCTGGTGGAAGCTCTGTAAACAATGAAATGCGGCAATAAGATCCGGACGAAAACGGCAATAAACAGAAAGTCACTAATGTTTCTTTGACTCTATCCACATGCAAACAGAGACATTTACATAACAACTGAGCCATGGAGAGAATACCAAGAAATATAAAAGCCAACAGGCCGGGTTGAGAGAAGACTGTTTCATCCAACAGTCTGCTACTGATCACAATAGTATGCTTATTTGCCCAAAACACAAAGATACGTGGAATTTCAGCTTTCTGCAGATACAGAATATGTTTGCATGAGAACGAATGTTCAAGCATGTGTAGATTAAATAGGCCCATTATCTATTGTTTCTATAAACGTATTCCACCACAATCACTCTCTCTCTCATTTGTCAAAGATCCCCAAAAAAACGTTTCCTTGTGTATTGAGTCTGGCAATTGAGACTTCATCTGTGTCAGTAGTAGTAGCGCCAAAGCGTTGATTTAGCTACAGGGCATGACATTGCACCAATGCAATGTCCCTAGTTTGTGTATCCTCTGTGGAAAATTGCTTCACTATCAGTAAATGTGGACAATTATCTGAAGACCGGACATAAGAAAATTAAATGAGAAGACAGTGTGAGAGCATGCATGTGCAGTGTAATGTTCACTAAAGTAGTGCAGAGATCAGCATCTAGTAGTAGATCTGAGGAACTATTCATGCATCTAGTAGTAGATCTGAGGAACTACTCATGCATCTGGTAGTAGATCTGAGGAACTACTCATGCATCTAGTAGTAGATCTGAGGAACTATTCATGCACCTAGTAGTAGATCTGAGGAACTACTCATGCATCTGGTAGTAGATCTGAGGAACTACTCATGCATCTAGTAGTAGATCTGAGGAACTACTCATGCATCTAGTAGTAGATCTGAGGAACTATTCATGCATCTAGTAGTAGATCTGAGGAACTATTCATGCACCTAGTAGTAGATCTGATGAACTATTCATGCATCTAGTAGTAGATCTCTATGGTAATACTTGAAGCAAAAGATTCCCTCTCACAGCTACACACCGGCACTATTTGTTTTCCGATCCGATAGGATGTCCCTCGATATGGAAGCAGAGAAGAAACAACCTGAGTTATGTAGGATATTTTTTCAAAAATAAATTTCGTCAGGCTTCAATAATATTAGTTTATATACCAGCTCAAGTTATATCAATGTCCAAAGCGGGAGCTAATGCAGGAATTGGATAGGGTGGTAAGACTGGCAAACCACGTTCAAATCCAATGTTTTAGAATGAATGTCTTAAGCTTGACTGCAGCTCAGCACAGTGCTGTTAAATGCTTTAAGGTGTTGTAGACTTTTATACACTGTAAGGTGGGTTTAACTACGTTTAATAATGGTAGTTTACCACAGGACATTTGGCATTTCACGGGCACTTGAATGGCTCAAGGTTTTTCACTTACCATGTAATTTACTGTATGTTATACCTGGCCGTGTGATGCAGGCTGGTTGTATACCCTGGTTAAAGTTGGATCAAACTCAATTTAAAAACACAGAGGGAAAGGAGTAATACAATAAAACATCTCAGTTAACAATAATCCATGGAAACAAGTAACCCTGATTTATTGCTTTACTGTTACAAGTGCAGCTCTAGTTTAATGGCCTGTTTGATAGATGGCCGAAGCCTCCTTGAGTACTTTCCCACAAAAGGTAGAGAGTGGAGAAGGAAGGAAGAAAATATAAGAAGAGGAGGCAAACATGGACATGCAACTGCAAGACGTCATAGAAGACGGGATGAGAAAGCTCAATTTATAATCCAGCATTCAGTCAATCCCAGAATGAGTTCCCACTTTGGCGTCAATACGTGCATACCGCAGTATTTCATTCCTGCATCATATCAATATCTCGGTCTTTCAATGGGGTGTGATGAAGATACACATTTAGAAGTGCCCAGCACAAACGTTGTCATAAACCTCTCTGTACAGACATTCTTTTTCCTTCATGAAAATAACCTGCATTCTTCCACCACAGTGTCCGTGTATGAATATGAGTGAAAGCTTCTCAAAGAAGTTTCACATCACCCCATTTTCCAAGCAGCTGATTGCAGCTACTGAAGCATTCTAGACAAGAGCATGTCATTACTTCTGCCTAATCCCACATTATTCTCCATTACCGAGACAAGGCTTAATGATTCCACTATCTCCGCAAATTAAGCCACCGTTGTTTTTGTCCGGCTCTCGCACACACAAAGGCAAACACACACACACACACACACACACACGCGCGCTTTCATTCCACGCACGGCTCTACCCTTGAGAACTCCTTCCCAAGTCTTGTAGCGCATGCAGCACTTTGTGCAGCCAGTAGTGTGTAGTCTAGAATGTCAGCCACATACGACGCACAATTCATGATGTGATTTACTTTTCCACTTGAAATGAAATCCAAACCTAAATCGGCACAGGTATGGTATTTTTGGTATGGCGTGCGCACAAATACACCAATGATGGATATGGCCTAGGAAATGTACGTCCTGGCAGATATATTGTGGCTTTTTTACTGCTGCTGGATAACGCACTTTAACACACACAATATATCATTCACCTGGCTCTCGGCTCACTGCTAATCCAGTGGGCCAGTGAGGAGGCTGTGATGAGGCAATGAGGAGACAATGAGGAGGCACTGAGGAGGCACCATTAAAAAGATTTTAACTGTCTTCACCACCACAAGGGTCCAGACTTTCGGGGGGGAAATGCCTCACCCGACCTCAGCATCGCTTCCCCTGGTAACCCTACGGCAGGATAGACTCCAGCCTTCATAGACTTTGCACAATCTGTATCCATGCATGCTTGATAAACTAGCATTACATTATAATGAAGTGTCTCCTCATTAAAATAAAGTTGATATGGTTTATTAACAAGTCTGACACTAACCTTTTATCAAGCAAAACAGGAAAACTTTATTTCCCTCCATTTTTATCAGTGAATTGGTTTTAATAGTTTATGCTTTGTGCAGGATACAATCAGATCATGGTTTCTCACATAATTCTGGAAAATGATCAGGAACTATTTATAAAAAAAATGTTATAAATATGACTACTTTTGCTGTGGTACCAACACAGACCTGAGGTTTTATACTCCTCCCCCCTGACATAAAAGGCAAGGCAAGGCAATTTCATTTGTATAGCGCTTTTCATACACAAGGCAGACTCAAAGTGCTTCACATCATCACAAAATGCAGGAATTAAAAGACAATTAAAAACATCAAATAAAATTATAAATTAAAATCTTATTTAAATTGTTTAATTAAAGGCAGAGGTTAAAAGTGCAATGTAGGTCAAATTTAGCAGAAGGCGAAGCTGAACATAAAGTTTTCAGTCTTGTTTTAAACGTGTCAGAGTTGGGGCAAGTCTTAAATCTTCAGGAAGTTTATTCCAGCTGTTTGTTGCGTAGTAACTAAATGATGCTTTCCCATGATTTGTATTTACTCTGGGAATCACTAGCAGATTGGTGTCAGAAGATCTTAGTGATCTTGAAGGCTTATGTATTGGAAGCATATCAGTGATATACTTTGGCCCTAAACCATGTAGTGATTTATATGTGAGCAGTAGGATTTTGAAATTAATTCTCTGACAATTCTTTTTTTGTTAGAACTCTAACAGCAGCGTTCTGAACAAGCTGGAGCTGCCTGACAGTTTTTTTTGGGAGACCTGCAAGGAGACCATTACAATAGTCTAGCCTACTAGTTATAAAGGCATGTACAAGTGTTTCTAAGTCTTGAGCTGACATGAGCCCTCTAAGTCGTGCTACATTTTTGAGGTGGTAGTAGGCCAATTTTGTTACTGATTCTCCAAGTGTAAATCTGAATCCATAATAACCCCCAGATTTCTGGCTTTATTTGATGTTTTCAGGGACAGAGAGTGAAGGTGTTGGGTTACTTTAAACCTTTCTTTTTTAGCACCAAATACAATGATCTCAGTTTTGTCTTCATTTAGTTGTAGGAAATTTTGACACATCCAGACTTTGATTTGCTCAATGCACTGGCACAGAAGATCTATGCGATAGTCGTTTGGTGATAGCGCTACATAGATTTGGATGTCATCAGCGTAGCAATGGTGGTCAATTTTATTTCTTTGCATGATTTGTCCTAGTGGGAGCATGTAGATGTTGAATAAAGTTGGCCCTAAGATCGAACCTTGGGGGACTCCACACGTTACGTCGGTTGTTTCTGATACGAAGTCACCAATGGAAACAAAATAGTTCCTGTCTTGTAGATATGACCTGAACCAGCTTAAGACTGTGCCTGAGAGCCCCACCCAGTTTTCCAACCTGTCCAAAAGTATTGAGTGGTCGACAGTATCAAATGCAGCACTGAGGTCTAATAGCATTAATATTGAAGTTTTGCCAGAGTCTGTGTTAAGACGGATGTCATTTACAACTTTAAAAAGGGCCGTCTCTGTGCTATGAAGAGGTCGAAATCCTGACTGGAAATTGTTGTGGCAACCAGTTGAAGCCAGGAAGTGATTAAGTTGTAAAACAGTGAGCACAATAAGTACACAATAACACAAAACACT